CTGGAGCTGCGCCTGATTGAAGGGAGTTGCCGGACTCGGCGACCCTGGCTTTTGGCAGTTCGCAGGGCATTATTCATCCCTTTGTGTTCTCAGGATTCACCTGCTGGATCGGCGGGCCCAGGGAGAGAAGCGCCGGGATGTTGCAGCTCTCGGCGAGGAAGTATCCTTTCCGAGAGGGCGGCAGCACCCCGTGCGTTTGCAGCCGCCCTCTTAGTCTTAGTGGACCTCACTCTTTGCAGAGGCTGTTAGGAGCAGTGCTTAGCCACAATAGCAAGCCTACGTAAGGGTTTGGAAAGTATCTTCCACCCACCTCTGTTGTTTCTGTGTGTGTGTGTGTGTGTGTGTGTGTGTGTGTGCGTGCTGTTTTGCAGTCACATAATCAGAATTCCCATTTCATCTCTAATACATTCCGAATTACTTTAATCCAGCTTTATTTGTTCCTTCCTCTCATATCTTTTCAGCCAGTCATATACCCTTTGAATGTTTTAATCTACACTAGTCTTGGTATAAATTCTTTTTAGTTGAATAAACAAATATAGTCTGGGCCTGGTGCATTTCCTCCTGGTTTATTTCTCTTCAAGATTTAGATCACTCTTCCGTGTAATACTGAGAAACGAATGTGATAGAGGCTGGACAGAATGTCCATTGGCCATCTGTTACTTAACTAAATATATCACTCTCTCAGTCCTTGTTTAGTGTGTCTGTGTAATTTAAATTAGAAACAAACCAAGAAGACATGGTCTTTCCGAATGCACTTGGTATCTCTGGTAACCCAGTAAATGTTTACCAATTGGAAAATTGAACAAGCTAGGCAGTTTAGGTTTAAGTGTCTTTGACCTCGAATCTTAAAGGAAGTAATTATGGGTACGTTTATTTTACCTTATGGGACGTTTTAAAGCTGTTATACCTTTAAATGCTACTTGAAGGCTGCCAGCGATTTTACATATGGGATACTTTAAGCCTACAGATAGCACAAGAATAGTAAGTTAAGTACTCATACATCATACCCTTCTTGAAAATATATCAACATGTTAAACAACATTTCAGCACAGATGGAGCATTGGCTTGAAAGAGGGTTTTGAATAAAGAAGCTGTGCGGAATGCAAATGGTCTTACACTCTGTACAATTGTATTTTCCAGAGATGCTGGTCTGGCTTTCTTGTCTTCCTAAACGAAGACTTTCTATTCTTCACTAGGGCAAATAAATATATTAAGAAACAAATACCTATTGAACATCTCCAACTTGAATTCCTAGAGGCATCTCAAACTCAGGCTGTCCAAGATGTAGTTTGTTCTTTTCTCAAAGTGTGCTGCTTTCACTCACCCAGACACAAGCCAGAAACCTAGGAGTCTTCCCAAGCCCCATCCTTTCTGTCCCTTCCAATTGATGACTAACCACCAAGTCCTGTTTATTATTCCCCAGAAATATCTGTGTGCTCTCTCTTCCGTATCTCTCTCTGTCTTTAGAGCAGTGTTTTCAACTTTGGCTGCATATTGGAATCCTCTGGGAAGGTTTAAAAAATTCTTATGTCCACACTGCACCCACCAATTAAATCAGAATCGCTGAGGGTGGTGCTCAGGTGTCAGCAGTTTTTTTAAAACTCCCCAGGTGTGCTGGGCATGGTGGCTCACACCTGTAGTCCCAGCACTCTCAGAAGTGGAGGTAGTTGGATCACTTGAGACCAGGAGTTCAAGACCAGCCTGAGCAAGATGGCAAAAATACAAAAATTAGCCTGGCATGGTTGCCAATGTCTGTAGTCCCAGATACTCCAGGGAGCTGAGGCAGGAGGATCATCTGCAGAGCCTTAGGAGGTAAAGGTGCCAGTGAGCCCTGGTCATGCCACTGCCCTCCAGCCTGGATGACAGAGTGTAAACCCTGTCCCAAGAAAGAACAAAGGAAGGGAAAAAGAAAGGGAGGAAGAGAAAGAAAAGATAAAAGAAAACTGGGTGCAGTGGCTCGAAAACTAATCCCAACACTTTGGGAGGCTGAGGTGGGTGGATCACTTGAGGACAGGAGTTTGAGACCAAGCTGGGCAACATCTACAAAAAATACAAAAATGAGCCAGGCATGGTGGCACATGTCTGTAATCCCAGCTACTTGGGAGGCTGAGACATGAGTCGCTTGAACCCGGGAGGCAGAGGTTGCAGTGAGCCGAGGTTGTGCCACTGAACTCCAGCTTGGGCAATAGAGCAAGACTCCATCTAAAAAACAACAACAACAAAAACTCTTCTCAGGTAATTCTAATGCACACCAAGGTTGGAAACCACTGCTAAGGGTTCATGATTTCTCACTAGAATATGACAAAAGGCTAATTGGCCCCAAGTGCCTTAATTTTGGCAGCATTTTCTTTTATTTCCCTCCTCTCTTCTAATTCATTTAACAACAATTCGATAAATATTTGAGTGCTTACTATGTTGGGGATGGAGTGTTTGCCATTACAGGCAATGAGACTAAAGCAATGAAAAATCATATATATCCATTAGCATCGTGCTTACATAGCGGGGTGAGGGATGAAGAAGAAAAAATATTGAAAAGGAAATACATTTACTAGAGTAACAGAAACCAGAGAGGCTGTAACTTTAGTTTTGTCTCTCAAACTAACATCAATTCTTCTGACATTTGAGCTGGGTTCTGTAAGACAAGAAGGAGGCAAACTAGTTAAGAGGTGAGGAGGACAGAGGAGCAGCAGACGCAGAGGTCTTAGCCAGAAACACTTGTCAAATTCAAGGCAGCTAGAGGCTGAACATAGTAAAAGGGAGGGGAGTAGGATGTGGGTGTGGGGGGTGGATGGTCAGAAAAGTAGGAGGGAGCCAGATTATTTAATACCTTTTTAGGTATGGTAAGGAGAATTCTAAATGATTGGTATAAAGTATGATGAGACAATAGGTGTCTAAGTAGCGTGACATCTGGTTTGTCTTTGAAAACGATCACTCACGCTGTTCTGTGGATGAGATTAAAGCAGAGCAAGAGTGGAAGTAGGGAGGCCAGTTAAGAGGCTATTCCAGGAATCCAATAAAGATGTCTTAGTTCTTTGAACCAGGGTGGAGAGTATGGAGACAGAAGTGGATGATTTTGGTATTTGTTTTAGAGGTATAATCAGTGGAACTTGCCTGGAATGGAATAAAAGTGGTGAGTAAGAGCAAGATAACTTTTTAAATCTTTTTTATTTTTTGAGACAGGGTCTCACTGTCACCCAATGGCTCGATCTCATCTCATTGTAACCCACCACCGAGGCTCAAGCAATCTTTCCACCTCAGCCTCCTGAGTAGCTGGGACTTCAGGCACATGCCACCGTGCCTGGCTAATTTTTGTATTTTTTGTAGAGATGAAGTTTTGCCATGTTGCTCAGGTGGGTCTCAAACTCCTGGGCTCAAGTGATCTGCCCACCTCAGCCTTCCAAAGTGCTAGGATTACAGGCATGAGCCACCGTGCCCAGCCGAGAACTACTCTTTGAGTACATACTATGTGACAGACACTATTCTAATTGCTTTATAGGTATTAAGCCACTTAGTTTGTCATAAAGAGTCCCTACAGGTCCCAAATTAGGATCTGAGGCACGAGAGTTTGAGTAATTTGCCGAAAGTTACATAGCTAAGTGGCAGAGCTGGGATTTGGGCCACCCAGCAGGTTGGCTCCAGAGCTCGTGCTCTTCTCTTAACCCTACCCTCAGCCCCTTTGCTGTGTCACAGCCCAAGTGAACATTTCTTTAGCCACAGTAAGCTACTCACAGTACCACAAATTCCCCCATCCTTTCTTCTCTTCCTTCTCTTCTTTCTTTCATACACCCTGCTAACTCTTTCTCTTCGTAGGTGCTATCTAGCTTTGTAGATAGATACTTTGTAGATAGCTACTGTGCCTAGAATGCCCTCTCGCTTCTCCTCTGCCTGGGTCATGTTTATCAACTCTCACTGGTCCTGACAGGCTAAATCAAGTTCATGTTCTCTAGCTCCACAGCAACTATGCTTACCTCTATAGTTTTCTGTATAAAGCACTTCATTATTTATAGGCATTTCCCACTAAACTTTGAAGGCAGAGAGCTTAATGCCTGACACCTAGGGAGAGAAGAAGGAAGCAGGCAAAGAAGCTTAGTGATGCACATGACACGCCTACCCTAGATGCTTCGAGACACCAATATGGTATTGTCACTGCCCTTGAGCAGCTTGTAAACTTGCCTTGGAAACTAACACAGAGAGAATCACTCTAAGCTGGCGCAGTTGCACATGCCTGTAATCCCATCATTTTGGGAGGCTGAGGCAGGCAGATCATTTGAGCCTAGGCAATATGACAAAACCCATCTCTACAAAAAATATAAAAATTCGCCTGGCGTGGTGGCGCACGCCTGTAGTCCTAGCTACTCATGAGGCTAAGGTGAAAGGATCACTTGAGCCTGGGAGGTGTAGGGTTGTAATGAGCCAAGATCACACCACTGCACTCCAGCCTGGGTGACAGAGCAAGCCTCTATGTCCAAAAAGAAAAAATATATATTTGTATATAGATATATAATCACTCTAATATAAGGGCCAATAAAGTACATATGATATAAACACAGGACAGGGTACCATTAATTCTTCTTCAGGACATCGGAGGCAAGAAGCTTGGCCTTATGTTTCACTGGGAAAAAAAATGCAACTAGGAATGAATGGGAGCTTGGGAGCTTCCTCCACCATTATTTTGCCTGGCTAGGGAAGGCAGTCTTGGGCCTTGTCCAGGAAGACTTGGGAGATTCTCATGTGGTACAATTGATCATTGGAATGTCCTACTTCTTGACTCTCCTCGTTGTCCCATGTGACTAAATATACTGATTTCCGAATTGGTTCAGTTTCTTTCCCAGCAGAGTAATTGGTCCAATTTCTTTTTTTTTTTTTTCAGGTACGGTCTCACTCTGTTGCCCAGGTGGGAGTGCAGTGGTGCAGTGTGATCACACCTTGACCTCCTGGGCTCAAGCGATCCTTCCACCTCAGCCTCCTCAGTAGCTGGGACTACAGGTATGTACCACCATGCCTGACTAATCTCGCTTGTTAAAATAGATTTCTGAGTTTCATCTCAGACTAATAGAATCATTATCAGTGGGGTTGGGGTGCTAGAATCTAGTTTTCGAAACTCTCCTGGTAATTCATATCGCGTATTTGAGAACCACAGCATAAGTGTTTCAGCCATTATGATAATATCCCAACTTTAGGAAGTTTTCTTCCACTAGATCTCTCACAGGGCCCTTGAGAGAGTGCCAGGGAGAAAGGAAATTGTTTCTTTCCTCTTCATGGAACCTATGCAATTACTTAGAATCTTCTTTATTTCCCCTTTCACCCATTCTCCTGACATATGCCCAAACCTCTTCTTGATGGATCCTCAGGCGACTGTTCCCATTTGCCTACTCCAGTCTTTCTTGGTTCCCTTCCCTGTCTGACTGACTCACAGGCAAGCCCACACCGTGCTGATGACCTGGACTAGAATCCCCCAGAGCCCCCTCCAAATTGAGCTAGACTCACTCCATGTTTGGCAGGATGAGGTTGGCTCACCAGGTCTATAGTGGCAGGATGTGCTGGGGCAGGATGCCAGCAGGTGATGAGCAATGACTTAGAGTGACCATATGTGGCAGTTTGCTCAGGACAGTCATACCTTACACCTGTTGTGGGGGCCTGATTATTAATAGTACCCTCTTTCATTCTCAAAGGGTCCTGGGTTGGACAATAAATTACATGGTCACCCTGGTAATGAACCTCATGTCAAGGGCAACTGTTGTGACATTTTAGACCCTGGATAAGGCCTAGACTATCCCTCCTCACCCTCTGCCCCTGACTCCATGCCATGGCTCTGTCCTCCCCTGAGATTTTCTTAAACAACCCATTGTGGTATAATACTTCAGGCCTCCTTAAGGGATTTCTAGGAGCTATGAAATTGTTGCTATATTTACTCTCTCTAACAATATCTGGAAAATATTTTTCTTTGGTTTTAGCACCTGGTATAGTTGTGTTTCCCTTGTTTATTATCCCCATTTGTTTTTGTCTTCTGGAAACCTGATTGTGGAACTGACAGTATTTCCCTTGGCTGTGAGAAAGCTTAGAGCCTTATATGTGGTCTCCTTCCGGTCTGTGTATAATATTTAACAGGATGTATTTTATATATTTAACTCACTCTTGGCTTACATTCTGTGTCCCCATTTCTTTATGCCTTCAGACTGAATTTTTCTGGTGCTTTATTTTATGTATATTTGTAGCCCGTCTTTTTATCAATTTTGAAACAAGGCAAATATAAAAAAAAGGGTATGAATACATGCCCACAAAAAAATGGGTACTGATTGTTATATAACTGGATTATATTTAAATGTATAGACAAAATAATTTCCACACTTATGAAATATAATTGTAAGCAATGAGTAGCACTTCAAATAATGCTGGCATTAGCATTACTCAATTACATTATTATCTAGCAAGTGAAATGATTGCAAACAAAAGCAAACAAACAAGAGATTAAATTAATTTTTAAGCTGGAGTACTTTTAGATATGACCCAGAGCCTTGATACCCAATAATGCAACAAAGAACACTCACTTCCAGATTTACGTAGCCTAATTTGATAGCATTCATGGTTGTTTACCCTCAAAGTGAAATCCTATGCTGTTGGAAATGGAGAAAGGGAGAGGAATAGTGATGGCTGGAGGAATCAGATTTGGGAATGCATAGTCCAGATGATAACAGTGACCCACAAGGAGGAATTGTGGCGAGAAGCATGCAGCCCAGAGCAATCCCCAGGCAATTGTTCTTCCTGCTGCCCTGGATAATGTGGTGAGAGGTTGTAGGGACTAGCCCCTGTGGTTTGCAGCTAATGTAAAGCTGAATAAAGAAATTCACCATAATCAAATTACTGAGGAATATATTTTACAACTAGTTTGTTTTGGAGGACACATTGAATTTCCAAGACTCAAAGACAGGCATTCTATGGATGGCTTAGTAAGAAACTTTATGGATAAATTGGGCTTATTGTTAAACCTGCTTCAAAAAAATTTTGTAACCTAAAATTTTAGTGAGATTATGTTTTATGTGGTGATTCCTGCTCTTTTTCAGCAAGAATATATATTTTTCTTAGGATGGAAGTATTTTTTTAAATACAAAAGCTTTCAGAAAATAAGGTAACACATCCATGTAGACCCTGTAAGAATAAATGTTAAATTTTCTCATATTCATATTATTATTTAAAACAAGAGAAATGAGACATAGAAATGGAGTTGAGGCCTACTTTGCACTTTCCCCTACAACACCATTCCTTTCTTCCCTCAGGTAACTGTTATCCTGAAGTTTTAACTATCTGGTTCACTTTTTGTTTTCTGAGACAGAGTCTCACTCTGTCACCCAGGCTGGAGTGCAATGGCGCAATCTCATCTCATCTCAACCTCTGCCTCCTGGGTTCAAGTGATTACCCTGCCCCAGCCTCCCGAGTAGCTAGGATTACACCAGGCTAATTTTTGTATTTTTAGTAGAGACGAGGTTTCACTATGTTGACCAGGCTGGTCTCGAACTCCTGACCTCAGATGATCCACCCGCCTGAGCCTCCCAAAGTGCTGGGATTATAGGCATGAGCCACTGCAGTCAGCCTTTTTTTCGTTTTTTGAGATGGAGTTTCGCTCTTGTTGCCCAGGCTGGAGTGCAATGGTACAGTCTTGGCTCACTGCAACCTCTGCCTCCTGGGTTCAAGCAATTCTCCTGCCTCAGCCTCCCCAGTAGCTGGGACTACAGGCACCTGCCACTACACCTAGCTAATTTTTGTATTTTTAGTAGAGACAGGGCTTCATCATGTTGGACAGGCTGGTCTCAAACTCCTGACCTCAGGTAATCCAACTGCCTTGGCCTCTCAAAGTGCTGGGATTACAAGTGTGAGCCACTGTGCCTGGCCTATCTGGTTCACATTTTTATACTTTTATAACATAAGTACAAATTCACAAATAACATATTCTATTGTTTTATGTTTTAAATAGTTTTTACTAAGCAAAATTTTACCTAAATGATTTTATACTGAATGCATCATTTTAGAGCCTTTCTTTTTTCAACAACAACTACAGCAGCAAAACTCAACACTGTTTTCAAGATCTACCTATGTTGATACATGGAAATTTAGTTTATTCATTTTGAATGCTATGTAAATGAGCATACATGTATCGTCTTGCTCATGCAGGAGAGTTTCTCTAGGGTATATGCCTAGAAGCAGACTTACTGAAGAAACTGTTTTAAAAGTTGAAAAATACTATAAGCAACCTCCTTCCTCATTCTGATTACACTTATAGGTGCTAATATTTACTAGGTGGAAAAATAACAGGTGCATTTGGAGTCTCAGAGCCCTTCCAGTAAAAGGTCTAAAATGACTAAATCAGGGTGATGAATGTCCATACATCAATGTCCTTTAGACCTGCTTCTTATCTTCATAATGAAGGTAATAAAAATACCTTCTTCATAGGGTTTCTATGTGGATTAGATAAAGTAATACATATAAAGCATTTAGCACAGTGTCTGGCACTTAGTAATAGCTCAGTACAGGTATACCTTGAAGATATTGTAGGTTCAGTTCCAGACAACAACTATTGCAAATAAAACAAGTCACACAAATTTATGGTTTCCTCGAATATAAAAGTTATATTTACATTTTACTGTGGGCTATTAAGTGTGCAATAGCCTTATGTGTAAAAATGTATATACTTTAATTTAGAAATACTTTATTGCTATCAAAATTGGAACCAATCCTCTCAAACTCTGCTGCTGCTTCATCAACTAGGTTTATGAAATCTTCTAAATCCTTTGTTGCCATTTCAACAGTGTTTCCAGCATCTTCTCCAAGAGTAGATTCCATCTAAAGAAACTATTCTTTGCTCTCACCTGTTCAAGTTTTATCATGAGATTACAGCAATTCAGTCACATCTTAGGGTCCACTTCTAATTCTAGTGTTCTTGCTATTTCTACCACGTCTGTGGTTACTTCCTCCCATGAAGTCTTGAACCCCTCAAAGTCATCCATGAGAGTTGGAGTCAACTTCTTTCAAACTCCTGTTAATGTTGATATTTTGGACTCTTCTCATGTGTGACAAATAGCTTTCTGATTGGTGAGTTTTTATGGAAAGTTTTTAATTTGTCCAGATCCATCGGAGGAATCACTATCCATGGCATCTATAGCCTTATAAAATGTATTTCTTAAATAATAAGACTTGAAAGTTGAAATTACTCTTCCTTCCGTGGGCTGCAGATGGATATTGTGTTAGCAGGTATGAAAACGGTATCGTTGTACATCAGAGTTCTTGGGTGACTAGGTGAGTTGTCAATGAGCAATAATATTTTGAAAGACATATTTTTTCTGAGCTGTAGTTCTTAACAGTGGCTTAAAATATTCAGTAAACCATGCTGTGAACAGATATGTGGTCATTCAGGCTTTGTTGTTCTGTTTCTAGAGTACATGTAAAGTAGGTTCAGCAAAATTCTTTTTTTTTTCCTTTATCAATACCCTGAGAAAATTTAGCACAATTCTTAGGAGCCCTAGCATTTGTGGAATGGTAAGTGAGCACTGGCTTCAATGTAAAGTCACCCAGTGCATTAGCCCCTAACGAGAGAGTCAGCCTCTCCTTTGAAGCCAAGCATTGGCTCCTCTTTTCTGTGAATTCCAAATGGCATCTTCTTCCCATATGAGTCTGTTTTGTGTATATTGATAATCTGTTGTTTATTATAGTTACTTTTATTAATGACCTTAGCTAGATCTTCTGGATAACTCGCTGCGACTTCTACATCAGCACTTGCTCCTTCACCTTGTACTTTTATGGTACAAAGCAAACTCTTTCCTTACACCTTGTGATCCAACCTCTGCTAGCTTCAGACTTTTCTTTGGCAGCTTCCTTACCTCTCTCAGCTTTCATAAAATTGAAGAGAGTTAGGGCCTTGCCCTGCATTAGGCTTTGGCTTAAGGGAATGTTGTAGCTGGTTTGATCTTCTGTTCAGACCACTTAAACTTTCTCCATATTAGCAATAAGGCTGTTTCACTTTATAATTCATGAGTTCACTGGAGTAGCACTTTTAACTTCCTTCAAGAACTTTTCCTTTGCATTTACAACTTGGCTAACTGTCATAAGAGGCCTAGCTTTCAGCCTGTCTCAGCTTTTGGCAAGCCTTCCTCATTAAGCTTAATCATTTCTAGTTTTTATTTAAAGTGAGAGGCGTGCGACTCTTCCTTTCACTTGAACACTTAGATGCCATTATAGGGTTACTAATTGGCCTAATTTCAATATTGTGTTCCCAAGAATAGGGAGGCTCAATAAGAGGACGAGAGATGGGGGAATGCTGGTCAGTGGAGCAGTCAGAAACACACACACACACACACACACACACACACACACACACACACACACATTTATTGATTAGGTTCACTGTCTTCTGTGGGAGTGGTTCATGGCACTTCAAAACAATTACAATATTAACATCAAAGATCACTGATTACAGATCACCATAACAGATAATAATAATACCTTAAAAGTGTGAAATATTGTGAGAATTACCAAAATATGACACAGAGGCATGAAATGAGCACAGGCTGCTGGAAAAATGTTGCCAAAAGTCTTGCTGGATGCAGGGTTGCCATAAACCTTCCATTTGTAAACAAACAAACAAACAAATAAATAAAATCTGTGAAGTGCAATAAAGCAAAGCACAATAAAACGAGGTATGCCCATAAATATGAGCTGTTACCTGGAGTGTTATTTTAAGATAATGGAATATGAAACTCCATGGCTTTTATTTGAAGATAGTATTTCAGATAAAGTTTTTAAGGAAGAAAGAAAACTTTATTCTTGCCTGTAATGTCATCTTTGGAAGTTTTATCTTTATGTGTTCCTTTTCCTTTCATATTGTATTTAATTCATATTCTTGGCAGAATCTCAGCATTGAAACAGTAAGAAGAAAACAGTAGAGAAAGGCAACTAAGTAGAAAAAAACTCCTGCTGAAGCCGGACAGCCTGTTTTTGCCAGACGACCATTTTTCACCCTTCTTTTCTGCCATCCATTCTTAGAATTGTCTTGTTAACTGCATATATGCTAGCCAAGGAACTCATCAGCAATTACCAAAAACAATTGTTTCTAGTACGGCTTCAGTTTTTAAAATCCCATCTACCTTTGCCAGGGGAATCCCATTAGAAATGTGTTAGGGGAAGGCATATTTAAATAGTTATTTCCTAGCAAATGTGGTCAGAACCCACAATGGTTAATTGAAAGTTGGTGTGATATAAAAAGATAGGCAAGAGAACATGTAATAGCTTGAACGCATCAGCGGATACTTAGGGTTTGATGGGAAAATTTAGGACCCTTTGTTAACTTGTTGAAATTCATGCTTGGGAGTTTTCAATAAACATCAAAAGTTGTTTGTAAAATGACTGTGCCAAGCCAACATTCCTAACAACAATCAAAGAAAATAAGATTTTTAAATGGTTGGATAACTCAGCAAGGGAGAAAAATTTCTCTGTGGTCTCAGGCCCAGAGATCTATATTCAATTTCAAATTGTTTCTAAGGGTTTAGTGTCCTGTGATAAAAGTAAAACTTTGTACAATATATTCCAAGGATATGAAGGAAAAACTGAACAATTACTACAGAGCTGTGATTTTGAGATAGCTTTGTTAAAATAAAATTCCCACACACTGAAGTTGCTACTATAATTTACTTTTTACAGTGAAGGATGCCCAATCTAGATTTATAAAGTTAGTTCTATACATCACATGAGCTCTTTTAAATGATCTTCTCTATGTTTCAGTGTTGAATCGAAGAGG